TTTCTTATAGCATTTTAGGAAAGAAAGATGGATCAACCTAGTGGAAGAAGTTTTATGCAAGTATTATGTGAAAAATACAGTCCTGAAAACTTTCCTTACCGCCGTGGTCCTGGGATGGGAGTCCATGTCCCAGCCACACCTCAGGGCTCTCCTATGAAAGGTAAGGAAAATAGGACCTAAAACATTTATTTCCTGGAGCTTACTTAGAAAGCTAAATCACAGTATTGCTTTGTTTGCCAGTGATTTCCTTTATTTTTGATTATGAGTCAAATAGTCTTTCCCCATTATTATGATTTCAGTTTTCCTTAAGAACCTGACAGGACTAGTTTTCCTCCAGATTGTCCAAGAGGCATTTTAGTTGTCCTCAAAGAATAATAATTGAATGATAATATTTCAAATGCATATTCTTTTAAGGAACTTAGAGGGTACAAAAAATATGAGACTGGCTTGTGCCCTCAAGGACCTTACAGCCTAAAAGGATTACAAGACATTCACATTTATAAAGATATAACACAAGGTAGTTTATGTTGAGCCAAGTAAATGACACAGTGATTGGGAAAGAAATTTAGTAGAGAGTTAATTAATATGATCAGGAAAGGGTTCAAAGCTGTTCAGTGAACTAGTCCTTTGAACTAGTCCTTCAAAAATGTAGAATTTGGTTAGAGGGGAGATAAAGACATTCTAGGAGAGGAATTAGATGTGAGCAAAGGTCTGTAACTAGAAATGTGCAAGGTGTATTTTTGCTTTTGTCTTTTAGCTTGATGTTGCAATGAACAGCTCTTGGAAGTAGTTCTTTGTAGTTATGGGGCATTAAAATTGAATCAAGGTTTTGTTCCTATGTTCAAAGGTTACCAAGTGTTTGCTATTTTTCAAACAACTATCTTATCACTCTGTGTCACCTAGAATGGCAGAGAGAAGTGGATTTCTTACTTGGTAATTTTTTTTCCCCAGGATCCATTCCCATTCTGAGAAATGTGATACTAAAAGTACTAAATGGAAAAACCATATAATTTAAGGCCTCCATTAATAAAATATTACCTTCATGAGTCCTTATTGTATACCAAATGGGGAAAGAGTGGTTGAATTCTCATGTTTATCCTTTTCAGGAGAGATATTAAGAGTGATTTTATTGACACATGTGTTTTTTTTTGAACCAGGTAATAGTCAAAGAGTTGTTACCTCAATTTGACCAAATTCATTGAATAGTTTAAGATTCTGAAACACTTTCTCCCATTACAATTATATCTAAAAAGGAGGCCAGCTTTCATAAGGGGCAAATTCTACAGAGATATGAAACAGGAATAATTGATAGACAAATATGAGAAAGCTGTAGAGTTTTGAAAGGATCCATTAAGTGAGGAAGATTTCTTGAATAATATGAAGTTGAAGAACAGAAGTGATTTAGCAGATAGATTCAATATCTAATGGTTTGAGATAATTTTCCAAAGATAGCAAAAGGTAAAGATACATATCAGATAGAAAAGAGCTATCCAGAATACTTTTGGACTAAATTTAAAAAAGAAAGAATTGAGGCCAATAAGAAGGTGGGGGTAATGCATACACGAATGTCATGGATCTAGTGTTCAGATGACAAGATGATAGCATGGATGATGGCTTTGTTGTTGGTAATTGAGATAAACAGTCCTGCCAGGAGTTAAAGCCTAGAGCACTTCTTTGTTGGTACTGGTTCAGTACTCCTAAGCTCCTCCTGAGCGATATTTGGCTGTCTCCCCTTGGAATTCAGTACCCTTTGATCCCATTATATCCTGTGTTTTCCAGGTCCTTGTGTAATTTCATGTTGTCTGTTTTTTGTTTCTTGATGATTCTTGGGGGCTGAACATGTATAGACAAGAATTAGAGGGCCGGGCGTGGTGGCTCACGCCTGTAATCCTAGCACTCTGGGAGGCCGAGGCGGGTGGATCGCTCAAGGTCAGGAGTTCGAGACCAGCCTGAACAAGAGCGAGACCCTGTCTCTACTGAAAATAGAAAGAAATGATCTGGACAACTAAATATATATATAGAAAAAATTAGCTGGGCATGGTGGCTCATGCCTGTAGTCGCAGCTACTCGGGAAGCTGAGGCAGGAGGATTGCTTGAGCCCAGGAGTTTGAGGTTGCTGTGAGCTAGGCTGACGCCAGGGCACTCTAGTCTGGGCAACAGAGCAAGACTCTGTCTCAAAAAGAAAAAAAAAAAAAAAAAATTAGGCTAATGCAGAATGTATTATGTGTCCCCTGTGATTCAGATCGCCTCAACCTCCCAAGTGTGCTAGTGTTGAACAGCTGTGGAATAACCTGTGCAGGAGACGAAAAAGAAATTGCCGCCTTCTGCGCTCACGTGTCGGAGCTAGATCTTTCTGACAACAAACTCGAAGACTGGCACGAGGTGGAGTTTTTATATTGCTGTGTTTTGGTAAAAGGCAGCAATTACCATTGTATCCTTGTTTATGTTGTTGTGTATTCTGCTGAATTCTGTTCACTTGAGATTCTTGTTTGTGTGTCTCAAGATAAATAACTGACTGCATCGACTGTATTTGCGGTAATTTTTCAGTTAGCTTTGTCGCTGCTAATTTGTTTTTCATCAATGTGAAAAGCGCTGAGGAATTTTATTCCAGGTTTTAAGAGGTTAATGAGTCTACAGAGGTTTGGACTGCTAACGATGCATTAAATTCTCTGTTGTTTCACTGGTTTACATATCCCATGCTCATTCTCTACTTCTACTTCAATATTTATTACTATAAATTGATGTAGAATTGCTAGAGCTTGAAACTAAGATTATAAAAATATTCTTGTTACTGAAATTTATCCCAAATATTTTAGAACTTTTCTTATATTATCATGTCCCTTTGGTCGGTTGATATAACTGATGTCTTTTGACTTCGGAGTAACTCTAAGTATACGAATAACGTGTTACAACATTCTTTCATTATATATAACATTACCTGCCTGATTATAACATGACCTGATAGAAGTTCCCCTGAAGAATAAGGGAAAAGTAGTTCTTCCTACTTTATTCTCCTGCCTTAATTTACGCTCTTATTTTTTGCTTTGGCTGTTGGATACGTTTCCTAATGGGTTTCCCTGGATCTGGCTTTATCCTCTTTGCTTTAAGCTGTCTTTCACAGAACGACCACAGACTCCTGTTAATAAATGAAACATGGTTATGACACTCTCTGGCATGAAGTCCTTCAGTTGCTTTTCATTGCCTAACAGCTAAGGTCTGAACTCTTTAGTCATATGGCCCCTTTGCTATTTCTGGAACTTTATCTCCATCTTTAGCCATGTACTTTTACTTGCAGCTCATGATAAACTCTTGACATGAAAAGCTTCCTTGCTTTTATTCATTCTGAACCCATTGCTCTTTCCTCTCTTGTTTACCTGGCCACTTCCTATTTTTCCTTGAGGACTTGGCCGAAGTTGCTGTTGCTCTGTGAAATTTTCCCTGGCTCTCACTCAGACGGATTTAGATTATCCCAGGGCACCTGCACTATGCTGCTATGAAAAGATTTATCACAGTGTAGTGTAATTACTTGCTTACTTGGCAGTTTTTCTACTAGACTGTGAGCTTATTCAAAGTGGAGATTTTTGTCTTTTTTGTCATCAGCGCCCAGCATACTAGTTGGTCAAATGTTTGTTGAGTATGTTAATGAATAAATGATTATATCTAAGGATTGATCAAGACCACTTCCTCCAACTTTTCGTGTGATCTTAAGAAATTCACTTAATCCTTCAGTGCTTTAGTTTGCTCATCCGTAAGACAGGCTTACTGATAAAATTAATTACTGAAACACCTAGTAGATATTGAATGCTATACAAGTTCTAAGACAACTTTGTTGTTTAAGAAAAATCTATCTGTAACCTAGTTTTGTTCAGCTTTTCTTACGTTTATCTATTTCATAGTCTTGTTTAATCTGGTAACTGTACTCTTGGTATATTCCTATTTTTATTAGAACTTTTACCAAAATTCTTTGAGATGCATGTCACCTGATTTCTAAGTGATTTATTAATATATGTAGATTTAGAGGGCTGTTCTAAGAAATAACTGCTATTTGTACATTATTTATTTATTTATTTATTTACTTATCTGAACAACTAGTATAGTTCACTGTTCAACAAATTACAGTCCATGCCTTCTTGGTCCTTTGAGATACTTAATTGCCATGCATGCTCTGTCCACACTGCACAAATGGCAAAAAGAACTACCCCATTTATCTTCTTTCTCCTCCACAATTCTCCTAACAGTCCTGCTGCTGACTCTGGTGAGATTTGTGGCCGGCATGGATGACAGGTCAGACCAAATCTTCTTGTGAATCAATTCAGCTCCTATGTATACATACTCAATCCCCTAAATTTGTTTCTTTGGAATATAAAATTTCAAAAAGATTTTATACTTTGACAGTGTACATAAGTTTTTGCTAACTGGTGGAAACAGTTTAATAGTGATGTGGTTGCTACTTTAGACGAAAGGTGTGTGGAATATGGATCAGTACACAGAGTTTGCACTAGGTAATGGAGCTTTTTCTCTGCTTAGACAAAGGCCTGTATTAAATATTTCTCAGACCACATTAACATACAGCCAGAAGGTCACATATTTATTTGTCGTATGTTTGCTCTCAGTTTGTATATTCCTGTCTGTGATCAATAGTCTGTTTTCAAGTAAACATTTGTTGCTTCACATTTCAGGTTTCCATTTCCAATTTATTTTTATTTTCATCATTCCTTTATATTTCCTCCTTATCCTTAAGTATCTTCCAGAGCATGTATCAGAACACATGGAGGTGGGAGAAATACTGACAGCAAAAGAATATAGATTTTTTTTTTTTTTATAATTGATTAAACTCTTTGCCAGGCTACAAATGCCTCATAGGTTACTAATTTTAAGACATTACATTTGAACCCTGTTACAACCCATATTTCTGGTTGCCAAAAAGGTCATTTGTCCCTAGCAATTAACTAAGTTTATGTCAGCCAGTAGTGAAACAATGTGGAACAAAATAATATAAATGTTCTATTAGTTTTTTGAGTGGTCACTAATGTTATAGGTTGAGTAACTTGTAGTTTAAACAATTGGCTGCTATATATCCAAGACTGAGATAAATATGGGTAGGAAATGTAATACTTTTGGGGGAGACAAAGACTTGTCTCCATCTTTCCAGATTGGGCACTTATGTCTAAAAATAATGCATATTTTAGCTTTTGACTTGAATTTTTGGCTGAACAGATTTTTGTCTGACCTTTCCCAAGGTATCTTCTTTTTTCTCCCTTCCTTATCAAAACCGTTTTGTAAAAGAAATTCAACCAAATAGTTGAGAGGAGGGAGGAATTAGCCACTCAGGTGAGACAGAGAATAGCTGAGTATAAATTACAGATTGTTATCTTAAAACCCTTTCCCCATTTTTCTTAAATCTTCAGTTTCTTCCTTTTTAGACACCTGAGTGGAGGGTCCTCTATTAAATCATAGAATTGTGGAGACCTAAAAGGTGATCTCAGTTCATCTCCATGTCTCTGCACATGAGCATACTTAACTCATTCCAGATGGAGGAGTCTTTTTATTTTTAGAATTTTAAAAAGGAAAGTCAGTATACTGCCCCAGAAATTCACAGAATGTTTGTGAGCCTTTGCTATTGGAAAATTTTTACCTTATAAGTAAATTTATCTGTGTAGTGAATATTATATTTTCCTGAATCTTATCATTAGTTTGAAGTTACCCACAAAACCTTTTTTATTTTACCCATTTAAAGAAAATATTTATTTCTTTCTAACATTTATTATTTTTCCTGCTTAAATTAGATTCTAGTCCAATTTTATCTTTTGGTATATTCCAGGGCTGATTGAGTAATTATTCTAAATTTTTATTCTCACTGATGGATGCAGACTATGATGATTACATCATGTGTCTGCTAGGCTTGGGAAATCTCCTAGAAATTGCTTTAAAACCCCCAAATTACTCATTTTTAAGTATTTACCTCTTTATTATGGGGGGTGGTGGTTCGCAAAGGGTTTATGTTTTGTTTTTATTTAACTGGAGTTGTACTATAGTTAACAGTTATTCATCATGCTTTAGTTGGAGCACAATTCCTCTCTCTTTTTGTCCCCCCAGAAGAGGTTAAGTATAGCTGATCATCATCTTCTATATGAAAGTTCTTCATATCATTAGTGTCCAAATCATAGAATGCAGTTACAGAGTTGGTCCCTGCATGAACTGGTTAGCTGTGTTTTGGTCACAGATTAAACTTCAGATTCTAGCCGTATATTGCACAGATGTTTGGTACCATTTGATCACAGAAGGGATCAAATAAGAGAATATGTGCAGATTGATATAAATTCCTTACACTTTAAATAGAAGCCTAGTGTGTTTTCTCTAAAAGGAAGCTCATTTCTCCATTTGTAAAATGAGGATAAAAGTGGTGCCCACTTCAAAGAGTTAGTGTGTGGAGTAGGTGAAATAGCAAATGTAAGGGCCTTTCCCTCTGACATATTCCTCTGAACCTTCTTGGAATTAATCTCCTTCTCACTGATTGTAGAGCTCCTGAACTGAATGTCCGTGGTAGATCTGATGTAAAGTACAGATTACTTTTTCTTTCTACTGATGGTTGTCCCCCCTCGATACCCTCTTGGCATTACCTCTGGAGCTCTGCAAAGAAAGCTATCCAGGTCCCATCCCTGAAGCTTATCCCACCTGTGAAGCTTCTGACTCAACAGTTATGTTGGAACCTGGGAATCAGTATATTTTTAAAATTCTACCAATGATTCTGATGGATAGCTAGGGTTGATATATTGCTTCATACTATACTTATAATATTGTTAATAGTTACATTTATTTATTTATTTATTTTTTGACAAATTGTGGTATATCCTTACAATGGAATACTACTCAGCGAGGAAAAGGAGTGAAGTATTCATATAGCCAGCAACATGGATGAATCTCAAAATAATTATGAGTGAAAGAAGCCAGAAAAGAGTCCATAGGGTTTGAAAATGCTAACTAAGCTAGCGTGACACAAAGCTGATCAGTGGTTGCTTGGGGATGGGGAGATGGGGGGGGATGGGGGATAGGGGATGGGGATAGGAGTATTTATTTATTTATTTATTTATTATTTCAGGGTGAGGGTACAAACATTATGGTTACACTTTATGTCTTTGCCTCACCCAAGTGCGAGTTAGAGACATGCCCTTTCCCCGCTACGGTGCTCCCTGTGTCCTTTAGTTGCAGATTTATCCCCCCATGCCCCTAATCCCTGGAGAGTATTTCTGCCCTGAATGCGCCTGATCCCATCTGACCTCGGAAGTTACATTTATTAAATGATTTTGTGCCATTAAGGTAGTGGTAAATGTTAAGTGCCCACTATGCAGCAGTATAGTTCTAGTACTATACTGCTATAGTATAAAAGTATACTAGAACTATAGTTCTAGTACTGTTCTTCGTTTCATAAAGTTTACAGGCTATTGGGGTAATTTACATGCTATCAAAACAAGTTTCAAAAAATGTGCCAATTGCTGTGCTGAATGCATTTCACATGTATCTCATTTAATCCTGTCAATAATCCTGTAAAACAGATGGTACTATTTTCCCTATTTTATAAATGAGGAAACTGAGATTTGGAAAGGTTAAGTAACTTGTCTGAAACTGCTCAGCTCAGAAGTGTTGGAACCTGGTTTGAACCCAGGTTTTCCGACTCTAATACTAATCCTAACTGCTCTTTTCTACTTCCTTTTGCATAAGTTTAGTTACCACGTTGCCTGGCTGTTTGATGCTTGATACATTTACTGGACATCTAGCATTTATCACATACTTGTTTAAGTTAGTCCTCACAGAGTGAGCCAACTATTCTTCAGTTATCTTTATTCCCTTTTTTCTGGTTATATTTATGATGTACTAGTTGTGCTATATTGGAAAGAACAATGGCTCTGATTTTTAAATCTCAGATTTGGCTATTTTGACTGTGAAACCTTAGTCAAATTATTTAATATCTCTGAGCCTCGGCTTCCTCATTTATTAAAATGAAAGTGATATTATTCATCTTGCAAATTGTTTTTAAAATTTAATGAAATAAGTTATGTCAAAGAAACTAGTACTATATAGAGCAAATACTTGTGGTCAATAATGCTCATTTCCCTTTTTTTCCTTTTTGTCTACCAGGTTGCTAGCTAAATATTAAATTGATGATGTTTTCCCTTTCATTGTAAGTTTTGGATGCTTTTTGGTTTTGAGTAAATATATTTTAAAGTTTGGTACATTTTTGAACCAAACTGAAACTATTTTCTGAGTTATCATGACTATTCCATCAATTTTGAACACACAAATTGTTACCAGGTGATTTTTAATAAACCTTTAATTAGGCTTAATGTTGGGCTGAAAATGAGAGGAAGGAGATGTTCAAAGAGAACTACGTGACCCAATCTCAGCTCTTTAAAAATGTAAAGCCTAAAGTGTCATCTAAACTATCTTTTCTCCATTTATCAATGAGGACATCACATAGGGCAGAATCAGAAACCTTGCTAAAGGTGACATAGGAAATTTTTCTTTTGTACCGTAAGTTATGTTATGTACCAGTCAATTATGCCACTATTTCATAGAAAGATTAAATTCTTTGCCAAGATTTGTTGAAATCACTTATGCCCTGATGTAAATGGCCCTTTGCCTGGAGACCTACTCACTTAGGCTTTCTTGAGCATGATTGCTATTTAAAAGCTGTGATTACTGCCTGATAATGCTTTTCTTTTTTTCTCCCTAGGTCAGTAAAATTGTGTCAAATGTTCCCCAGTTGGAGTTTCTAAACCTGAGTTCCAACCCTCTGAATTTGTCGGTTTTAGAAAGAACATGTGCTGGGTCCTTCTCTGGGGTTCGCAAACTTGTCCTCAACAACAGCAAAGCTTCTTGGGAGACAGTCCACACGATACTGCAGGAGTTACCAGAGTAAGCCCAGACAGCATGAGGGCGAGGGAGCTATGTTGCCATCTGTGTTAGTACATAGGATTACTGCTGATCTCCTGTCTCAGAAATACTAGAACTGCAGATTAAGTGGAGAGGCGGTTAGAGAAATGAAGTCATTAGAATGAGGGTGTGAGGGTAATCTAGCATTTCAGTGGAATACGTGTTCAGTGTTGAGTAGCACCAAGATATAGGATATGTCATCCTTGAGCTAAAAGATACCCCTGAGAAGCACTTATCACTTCCAGATCAATTCACCTTTACTCCATTCTAATCTTCTGTTTACCTGATATAAGAATTTAGCCTCAGCCCCTTTCTTTGGGAGGAAAAAAATCATAGTATCTCTAAAACATGTTAACATTCAGATGATTAAGTGCCTAGCTGGCCTGATGGGAAAATGGACCTGGTATTCTTTTTAATAATTTAAGAAAGAAATTATACTTTCATTCGTTTAGAAATGTTCTATTATGTTTTGTTTGTACCTATCTTTGTATATGCACCTAAGTGTGCAAAGAAAGTAGTTTAAAGAAATATATGAAACTGTAGTTTCTTTGACTGTCTAAATATGGAAATTTTCAAACCCCTTAAGAATCTTACGTCGTTCCATCTTAATTTCTCATTCCCACTCTAATGAAACTGTTTTCCTCACTGCATGCAACATCCAGCATGGTGTAGAATGAGCTTTTAAATACCAGTTCCACGTACTAACCATATGACATTTGATGAAGTACTTAATTTCTTTGAGCTGTTGCCTTGTCTGTAAAATGGGCATAATTGTATTACTTTGCAGAAATAAGAGTAAAATCTACAATGCGCCTGATACAGGGTAGGGATTCAACAAGTGATAGTTATAATTTCTAGGTCTAAACATTTGTTCATGTTGTTTCTGGAATTTTCTTTTATCTCCTCTCAACTTATGCAACTCTACCCCTTCTTCACGGCCTTGCATCCTTTCCTGATTATTCCAACTACAATTTCAATTTCATTCCTATATGAATTACTATTATACTTATAGTCAGTACTGCTTAATTTAGGACTTAATTATTTAAGCACAAAATTAATTTAGTACTACCCTATATCATTTATTGAATGAATGAAAATAGGTATAAAGTAGAAACTAAACTGCTTAAAACAATGAAATATTTGCTTTTTTCTCTGCAGTTTGGAGGAGCTCTTCCTGTGCCTTAATGACTATGAAACAGTGTCTTGTCCTTCTATTTGCTGTCATTCTCTTAAGCTACTACATATAACAGACAATAACCTCCAAGACTGGACTGAAATACGAAAGTTAGGAGTTATGTTTCCTTCACTGGATACCCTCGTCCTGGCCAACAATCATTTGAATGCTATTGAGGAGCCTGATGATTCATTGGCCAGGTTGTTTCCTAATCTGCGATCCATCAGCCTCCACAAGTCAGGTGAGGTTCAGGCTCGTTCTCATTCTATATTCAGATTGATCTGAGCTTGTTCATGAAATATAATGAAAGTATATTTCTTTTAGTCATAGCTCTATCTTTTTATAGGATGAATTTTCAACATGACATGCAGATGCCTATTGATTGGCTAAATTTAAGGCATTCATTTTCATAAATGCTCTGTTAAATATTAAGTGGCATCACATTATATTAACAATTTATATCTTATACATTAAAGGGGTCATGCTATGAAAAGAATGAAATGAAATTGATGAATGGGATAATAAAAGGCAGAGTAAAAAGAGTACAAAGAATGACAAACTAGACCATTTTGTCTAGAGTTAGTTAAAGCAATCCCAACCTGCTATGCCTTTTCAAATGCTCACTTTTCTTTTACCTCTGTATAATTTATTGTCAGTTTATTGCTATCTGATCCTATGTATCAGAGGAATGAATATATTTAGCCTATTTCTTTCTCTTTTAATTAAAAAAACTTTGTTTTTTAGAGGAGTTTTAGGTTTATAGCAAAATTGAACAGAAAATACAGAGAGTTTCCATATACCCCCTCCCCGTATATATACAATCTGTCTCCCCCACTATCAACATCCCACACAAATACGGTATGTTTGTACTACTTCAATCATTATACCTATGTCGACACACTCAAAATCCAGAGTTTACCTTAGCGTTCACTCTTGGTTTTGTACATTCCGTGGATTTTGACAAATGTGTAATGACATGTATCCACCATAGAGTATTGTTCAGAATAGTTTCACTGCCCTAAAATCCTCTGTGCTCCCTCTATTCATGCCCCTAATTCTGGCAACCACTGCTCTTTTTAATGTCTCCATAGTATTGCCTTTTCCAGAATGTCAACTAGTTGGAATCATACAGTGTGTATCCTTTCCACATTGGCTTCTTTCACATAGTTGTATGCACCTAAGTCCTCCATGTCTTTTCATGGCTTGCAAGCTCATTTCTTTGTAGTGCTGAATAATATTCCATTTTCTGGATGTACCACAGTTTATTTTATCTAGTCACCTACTTAAGGACATCTTGCTTGCTTCCAAGTTTGGACAGTTATGAATAAAGCCGATATAAACATCTACGTGCAGGTTTTTGTGTGGACATAAATTTTCAGTACATTTGGGTAAATAACAAGGAGCGCAATTGCTAGATCATATGGTAAGACTGTGTTTTGTTTTGTAAGAAACTGCCAAACTGTTTTCTAAAGTGGCTGTACCATTTTGTGTTCCCACTGGCAACGTTTGAGAGCTCCTCTTGCTCTGCATCCTCACCAGCATTTGCTATTGTCAGTGTTTTGGATTTTGGCCACTCTAATAGGTATATTGTGGTGTCTCATTGTTTTAATTTGTAATTCCCTAAAGACAGTGGTGTTGAGCATCTTTTCGTATGCCTACTTGCCATATGTATGTCTTCCTTGGTGAGGTGTCTGTTCAGATCTTTGGCCCACTTTCTAGTTGGATTGTTTTTTTCTTATTGTTGAGTTTTAAGAGTTCTTTGTATATTTTAGGTAATAGTACTTTATTGGACGTGTCTTTTGCAAATACATTGTCCCGATCTATGACTTTTCTTCTTATTCTTGACATTGTCTTTCAGGCTTTTTTTTAAAACAACTACGTAATTAAAAATAACTCTAACCTACAACTGAAAAAACATAAGCTTAGTTTCATTCACCATAGAGGATTATAAGGGTGGGAATAAATTTTAGAAACCAATATTTTGCATAAGGATGCTCTTTATTTCACAACTTGACACCCCTTGAGCTAACTGTTCTTCCTCCTAGATGGAAATGCCATTGTAAGGGAAGAGGATGGTTGTGACTTAGGATATTTATGCACCGGAGTCCTCATAAATTGCTCCTCTGCCTTTACCTTTGCTGAAGGTTGATAGAAATAGATGGGACCCCATTGCTCTCTGAAATGGATTCAGTGTGTTACAAAATTGTCCAGCTTCATTATTATAGGAATATTTTTCCTACTTGGAAGTCCTACCTGACTTAGAAGTAAAGTATTGCTTACAGCCATGGGGAGAGTTTCATTTTAGGACTAAAAATCTTAATTTGTTGAATATTCTCCTTACCCAATGATTTATGTTTTCTGTTTTTGTTTGTTTTTAATTTTGGATCTGTCTTCTCTGTCACCAAAATGAGGACAGTATGAAAATGATATACAGTTGGCTCTCCATATTCCTGGGTTCCACATTTGTGGTTCAACCAACTGTGGGTCAAAAACGTTTAGAAAAAAAAGGATGGTTGTGTCAGCAACTGACCACGTAAAGACTTTTTTTTCTTGTCATTATTTCCTAACCAATACAGTATACCAACTATTTACACAGCATATATATCGTATTAACTGTTATAAGTAATCTAGAGATGATTTAAATTATATAGGAGGACATGCCTAGGTTTTTTGCAAATACTATGCCACTTTATATAAGGGACGTGAGTGTCTACATGTTTTGGTATCCTTTGGAGGTCCTGGAATCAATCCCC